CTGAGGCAGAAGGATCGCTTGAGCCCAGGAGTTTGAGGTTGCTGTGAGCTAGGATGACGCCACGGCACTCTAGCCTGGGCAACACAGTGAAACTCTGTCTCAAAAAAAAAAAAAACAAAACAAAAAACCCATTCTATACACATAAGGGACAGCGAGATTATGTCATTAGCATGGCTGCTATAAAAGGTCATCCTTGGCTTTGGTGGCTTGGCTCAGCCTCCATCTACCATAGCACTTAAACATCTTAGACTGGTTATGTTGCTTTTAAAGATCCCCACTTAAGTGTCTCTTTTCATGAAAAACTTTCATGAGGTCTTCTGTTCCACCAAATAACCATTTAGGAGTAGAGCCTTTTATCTGCCCTCATCTTCTCTCATTCAAACTTCAAAAGGTTTGTCCCCTTCTCCCCAGCTGTTTGCTTCCTATGGTCTCTGATTTTCACTAACAGTTCACAGTCTTCCTATGGTCTATGTAGTTCATTCATTCAACAAGTATGTGTTGAGTTGTTATGTTTCAGACTCTATTCTAGACACTGAGGCTACAGCAACCAGGAAAACAGACAAAAATTCCTGCCCCCTTTGCTTTCTTCTTTCCAGAGGAAAGAATGTTAATTCTTCTCAGCCTGTCTTCTCCTCCTACCTTTCTCAGTTGTGTTTGTTTTCTCCAGGCCTCTAAAATTCTGGTCTTTCTCGAGGGAAGAAAAGCAGGGGCACAAGTTTATATTTTTAAATATGCAAAGTGTTCAGGAGAACTTTTTCAAAATCATTTTTTTCTGATATAAAAATACATGCTCATTGCAGTTATGTAGGATGAATAAGTCCAGAGAAGAAATGTACAATATGAAGACTACGGTTAATATTGTATGCTGGAAATTTGCTAAAGAGAGTACATTTTGTGTTCTCACCACACGCACACAAGGTAATTATGTGAGATGATGGATATGTTAATCAGCTTAACTTTTGTAATCAGTTCACTCTATATGTTTATCAAAACATAAATATAATGCAATAAAAAATGTTCATTGTAGAAAAATAATGCAAACAATATAGAGTAGAAAGGAAATGAAAAATCAAGTAGAGGTACCTGCTGTTGATGTTTTTATATCTCTCCTTTTCAATGTACACATATGGACCAAAATTGCATACATAGTGTGATGCTGTTCTGGAACCCTTTTGTTTTATTTAGATATATAGCCTAAACATTTTTCCATAGTAGTAGGTGTAGGTATACATCATCATTTTTAACGACCACGTAGTGTTCCTTGGTATAGATATATCCTAATTTATTTTTTAGGTGCCTCTTTTTAGAGGATATAAACACACGTATACTGGAAATTTACTAAGAGAGTAGATTTTATGTGCTCTTACCACACACACACACACACACACACACGCATACACATACACACAAGGTAACTATATTATCCTAAATGCACATCCTTTGTACATTTATCTGTTCACTTGTAGACTTATTTCTTTAAGCCATCTTTTTAGAAATGGAATTGCTGTTAAATGTCAGTTTTCTTATCTTTGTCTCCAGAGCTTTCTTTTTTTTTTTTTTTTGAGACAGAGTCTCACTGTGTTGCCCGAGCTAGAGTGAGTGCCATGATGTCAGCCTAGCTCACAGCAACCTCAAACTCCTGGGCTCAAGAGATCCTTCTGCCTCAGCCTCCCGAGTAGCTGGGACTACAGGCATACGCCACCATGCCCGGCTAATTTTTTCTATGTATATTTAGTTGTCCAATTAATTTCTTTCTATTTTTAGTAGAGACGGGGTCTCGCTCTTGCTCAGGCTGGTTTCGAACTCCTGAGCTCAAACAATTCGCCCGCCTCGGCCTCCTAGAGAGCTAGGATTACAGGCGTGAGCCACCGCGCCCGGCCCAGAGCTTTCTTTTATGGTCCTTTTATTTTTTATAGCGAGAGCCAGATAAACAAAGGCTTAATGTCATTTCATCTATCAATTTGAAATGTGTGTTTTTACCAGAAGAGCATGCACTAAGTATGTGCTATCATTTGCAAAGGAAAATGAGAACACATATCTACAGAAGCACTCTCAGAAAAGGAGTCCCTGCCGTCTCTAAAGTGAAAGGGTATTATTTGAATATGTAACCCAATTGTGCTTTTATAATTCAAAAACAGAGACTGTAAATATTATTGCAGTGACAGTGCAATGAAGTGGAATTGAGACCTGACTGCGCTGCAAGGCAGAGCCCTCACGCCTCAGTCACCGCCTGTCTCCTGCAGGGGCTGGAGCAAGCCTGAGGAACGTCACCATGGCCCTGGTGAGCTGGTTTCTTCTCTTTGAAAGCACGATCGAATCTATTTACAGAAACATTTGGGCTGGTTTCTACACAATTAAAATATCACGCAAATCATTAAGTGAAGATACAGTGTTTGTAAGAAAAATGTGTTCGACAGTATGTGGTAACATCCACTTTTATTTTGACAGAAAACGTCCCCATCCCATTTTATAAAAATATCCATGAATTGCATCATTAACAAAGACTGAATCATCAGAATTATTTCATTTATCTAGTTTAAAAATTTCTTTGAATGCTGTCATCTTCTGCTTGTGAATTCGATAAATTAATTCAGCCAGATGTCTGAGAGTCCTCTAAAAGATTTTCTTAAATCTGTCTTCTCTATATCTAGTCTCAGCTTGATCCTGTCACTTTTAAATATTAGTGTTCGTAATATTTTCCTGTGGTACCTCTCCCTCTATTTTAAATTTTAGAACCCATTCTTACAAATGCACTTATATCAGTGCTTATATCTTTGTATACATGGATATGTCTATGAAACTTACATTTTATATTGATTTTGTTAAAGGTTAAAGAAAGAGGGACCAATTAACTTCACCTTTCCCTGAACTTGAAAAGAAACCAATCAAATTCTGCCCTTCATCTCCGAAGTTTGGAAGATCAGAGTTTCCTGTTCATTAAGTCATCCTTTCTTCGTAACTATTAAAAAAGAAATAATCAGAAAAGAAATCACTGAATAGTTAAAACCATTTTTATCAAATATATACATAACACGCACTGTTGATTAGTTAAACACTGGTTGAGACAGTTTACTTGTAATTATTCTGAACTTGGATATCTGTGGATTATTTTTATAGCAAGGACAGGCTTACTCATCAGGTGGCTTTAGCTAGTTTTCATGCTGTTCTTGCTTGGATACTTTACGGGTGGGGACAGGTGAGCTGCAAGAGAAATGAGTGTGACTAATGGAAATATGAGCCTGCCTTGCCCACGACTGAGCTCTGGAGTGGAGAAGGGTTCAGGGTATTGGGCTGGGGCCTGTCTGGTGGGTTGAATCACACGGGCTTGAGTCCCTTGCAGGAACGTGGGTCTGTGTGTGGTTGCCTCTGAAGCGTCTGTCTGCCCTGGGAAGGAGCTCACCCTGAAGCTTGGGGCTGGTGAAGGGAGACCTTGCCCAACCTCTGGAGACCCCCTCCCCTCTGGACTCCATCCCCACCAGTGGCAATTCCTTAAGGCAAGGATTTTTCAGATAATTAGAAGTGTGATAGTATGAAAAGGAATTTTCAGAGTGAACTGAGTCAAGAATTGTTGGTGGTGAAACTCCCTCCGGCTTTCTTGGAAAGCAGAAGATGCTATGCCCTCTGCTTTCTGGGGCCTCCACCTTCCCCAGCCCATCTAGAAATGGCCGCCCTGGGAACACCTGCTTTCCACCTGTTGGGTGGGGCTGGGTGTGTGCGGAGGAGCCTTCTGTCAAGGACTCTGCCAGGAGCCTCTGTGCTACACCCCTCCACGCTACTCACACTGCTTGGAGAAAGCTTAGCTCTCACCTGGCAGCCTCACCTCCTCCTTTGCTGCACTCCGAGATGTAGCTTTCATTGGTGGCCTGCGAAGGGGTGGAAAGGCCCAGTCTCAGGGAGATGATTATTACAGTCAACTCTCCTCTGAAGAGGTTGTACCCATTTTACTTTTTCACACACACTCCTGCCTGGGCTGCGGTAATCGTAGGGACTTTGCTCTCAGCTATAGTAACTCCCATGCGTAACCATCCTATGTTTCCCCTTCAAATGCTAGCAGGAGGCAGATTTTTAGATGGGGACATCAGGGAGAAGAGAGTCCTGGGAGCCCAGGTCATAATGGGGAAACCAGGAATCTGATTCTGACCTCTCTGACTAGGCCGCTCCCTCCATTGTCCAAGAGCTTGAATTTGAAATCTGCTCTCTAAAAAACAACCCCAATCTTCTCTGCTTCTAGCTGTGCCCACGTCCTTTGAGGAAGGCTGTGGAATGCCTGACCTGCTTTCAGGGGCAGAGCTGAGGATTCGAAGCTGGCAACTTACCAGGGAGACAGTGGAGTTGGGGAGTCGGGTGCGGCAGAAGCGTTTGCGTAAAGCCTCTTGCACCTGCAGGAGAGGTAAATGCCCCGCTTATGCCAGCCAAAGTCCTGGCCTTCGGTCTGCGAGGCAGGCGGGGGGCTAGGTAAGCAAACTCACCTTCTTGTCCATGAGGCAACCAAACAGTAAGATGAAGACACCCTGAGAAGAGGAGCGCAGGGGTGAGCTGGTCACGGAGGAAGGGGTCAACCCAAGTCAACTCGCTCCCTCTGTGCTTCCTTCAACCTCTGTCCTCTTGTCTGATTCACATCCTGAGGCTGCCTGTCTCAGTTTTCTTGTCCATTGGTGCCTTTTGGTGCACAGGATCCATGCCAGATGCTTTTCTTATTGTTATGGTTACAACTGATATCAAAGGATTGGGTACTGACAATTTCCTGAATTCTCTGGCAAAATTAGCTATTATTTTACAGATAAGAAAACCAAAGCTCAGAGAGGTTATGTCATTTGTCCAGAGTTATCCAGCTAATCAGTGGAGGAGCTGGGACCAATACCTAAGCTTTTGAAAATTCCTGAACCTATTTTCTTCTGTTCCACTGTGATTCTACCTTGAGAAGGAATTGGCAGTGACTTAGACCATCAAAAGGGCAAAAAGCACAGCCACCACCCTGCCACCTACCTGGAAAGTGTTGAGAATGGTGAAGATGTAATGAGGGACTGTGGAGACTTCCTCTAACAGAGTGGCCAGGCCTAGCCCCCAGGTGAGGCCAAAGATGGGTGTGAGAATGAGCAGGGCTTTGATCACCCCCAGAAGAGCTTCATGCTTCTCCACGGGTGGTCCCTCTGACAGCGAAGGTCTCAGCAACTTCAGCACAGCCATGGCTAGTACCAGCCCGTTCACACCTACGATGGCCAGCACTGGCCCCACGAAAGTGTAGAGCGCCCCTCCCTTCCCATCCAACCAGCACTCCCCCTCCCTCAGGTATTGCCCTCTAGGTAGGTAGAGGCCCAGGGTGACACCTGCAAACCCCAGGGGGCACAGGTAGCCGAGGAGCACCATCAGGGGGAGGACTCGGTGCTTGGACAGCTGCTGGAAGACGAAGAGCAGCTGGTGGGCCAACACCAGGGCCTGTGCCAGCATCCAGAAAAAGGTGGCCAGGTAGAAGAAATGACAGAGGAAGGTAGCGGTGAGGCAGAGCAGGCTGCGAGACCCTGGAGGGAGCAGTGTGGCTCCCAGGAAGCAGGTGTCTGCAGCCAGCAAGCAGAGCACCACATTGAGCAGGGCAGTGTGGCGAAAGTAGGCGACCTTGTTCCGCACCACAGCTCTCCACACCAGCCTGTACACGCCCAGGCATACAAGCAGCGCAAGAATGGAAGCTCCCAAGCCCAGGTTACTCAGCAGCGTCAGGGTAGGATTTTCTGGAACAGTGTGTGGGGACATGAGGATGGAGAAGGCAGTGAGGTGCTGGCAGATGCACTGAGTGGTCAGGCTGGCACCGGCTGCCTGTGCCTGGCATCCTTCTCTGGACCAACCCCCCTTGCCCCGGAAGAGATTGTGATCCCAGAAGACACAATGAGGGGTACTCTTTGTGTGCCCAAAGTCCATGATGACCTCTCCCTGGTGGAAGGTCTGGCCATCTGCCATGATGGAGTTGACAAGGACCAGGCCAGGAGTGGTGTAGAGGGAGTCCCCCAGCCCTTGCCCATAGTTTGGGGGAAGAAGGTGGTCCAGTTTTTGCAATACCAGGCTGGTAATGCTGATTTGGGTTCCATTGTGGTGTAGTGGGGCCAGTGCATGCCTGGGAATCTGAGTCTGCAGTGGGGGCTGCGTGGAGAAGGAGATCTTATAGTCAGCAGGCAACTTGGGGCTGAGGAGCTGGGTCTGCAGCTGCACGTTGGGCAAGCTGAGGGTGAAGGGGTGATCTTGTGGGCACAAGCTGCGTGCCAGGGTCTCCACAGCCAGCAGGAAAGTTGAGCCCACCCAGGGCTTATCGGTCCACAGAGAACTGGTGTCCATGTCTAGGACCTTGTCTGTGGTTGTCAGGAGGTTCTGCAGCACCCAATGGAAAAATGGTCCAATCTGTTCGAGCCTGCAGTTCTCAGCCAGGAACACTGAGAGCTACAGACCCCAAACCTACCCTTCCCAGTCCAGGTAAGAGCCAAGGTTGAAAAGAAGAGGAAAGAGGAGGACAGGCTTGTGAAGAGTGATTTTCTAGAAGGGAAGGATGGGAAGCTGCTCCACCAACCACCTGGGGGCATCTTCAAATGTGCAGTCCCCTGATCCACACCCCACCCCTCTGCCTGACATCCTTCCCTCCCATCCCTTGGGGCCACCCAGGTCCTAAGAGGGAACTTCTCCAACTCCTTGACCCCTCCAGGTCCTCAAAGCTAGGAATGGGGACCAGCGGTAGAGGGCACGATGTTCTGAAGGCAAGGGCCACGTGCATGTCTGTGCACCCAGGTGTGCTACATATTCCCAGACATGAAAGGTGAGTAATATCATCGCCCCTTGTTACTCTTTTGGCTGCAGCTTATGGGTCACCAACTGAGGCGCACACTGAGCTGATTTAGGTGAGTCCAGCCAAGCCAGGCGTGTTTGAGTGTCTCCATGTGCACATGATAGCCACACGTCTGTGTGTGCATACTGCCTCTGTGCTCACGTCTGCACACCCTTTCCTGCCTTCCGCCCTCCCACGTGCTCCGAGCATCAGGCCTTTCCCACACTCCATCACCCGGGAGACTGGTGTGCAAGAGGGGAAATGGACCAGGAGCACAGACACTTGGACTCCAGGTATGTCTGCTATCTGACAGCCCACGGTGAAGTCAGAGGGACAGAAGCGCCCACAGGCAAAATGCCTCCATGCTCCACTGCCCAGCTGGTCCCTCTGTGGCTCAGGGATCTCACCTCCAGGGCACTGTGCTTAAGCTGTATTCTGGCCCTTGCCGTCACCTTGGCCAGGCATTTCATGGTGCGCAGCAGCGTCAGTAGGTCAGAGGGTGAGCTTGCCACCGCCACCTGCCCTGAGAGCTCCCTCAGGATCTGTGGCACCTCGTCGTCAGGCTTGCCCTGGCCTGCCTGCAGCAGCTGAGACGGACGAGACAACAGGAGAGGGGTGGCAGGAGAGTCCTCACAAGGGAGGGGCCGCCTCCTTCTCTTTGTGTCCAGCCCCTTCCCACACCCATCCCCATGCCTTGTCCCAGAGGGAGCAGGAAGCAGAGAGGGGAGTGAGTGAGCCACGTGGAAGGAACTGACACCAATGTAAGCGGGAGGCACACATGGAATTAGGGTTCGAGATCATGATCCCCCCGCATGGAGAGTGCTGGCCTCTCTGAGGCCCCCACACCCATGACCTAGCTCTGCTAGGGCTCCAGTTCAGAGAAGCTGAATGACCTGTGGGCTGGGTCCTGAGTGAAGGAGGGTGGGTCATGGAGGGGGCAGCCCGTGGGCAGTGGGGCAGGAGCTTTACCTTGGCTCTAGTAAGCAAGGCCAGGAGCCTTTCGTCGGTGCAGCTGCTGCGGATGGGCCCCCAGACCCCATCGTGCCCACAGGGCCTTTTCACCACTCCACTCTTGTTCACGGGACATGGGGCCTGTGCCACGTGGCCAGCCTTGGTGACATTCCAGGCCATACCTGAGGAGTCCTCGGGGCAGGTGATGTCTCCATCTGAAGAACGAAGGTCAGGGAGGACCCAGCAATCACAGTCCCACCTGAACCTTTCCTTGGGCAGCAACTGTGCAGGCCCTGGAGCCTGGCCCCTTTGCCCAGGGCAGGGAGTGCCATGGAGGAGAGCTCGTGCCCCCAGGGCAATCAGCTGAGGTCAGCCCACTGCACCCCAAGCCCCACGTACCCCGGATGATGGCGATGGAGACAGGGACCCTGAGGGGAGTGAGGCCCCGGCTCTGCAGGTCACAAGTGTATGTGGTGTCAGCGGCTGGGCAGTGCTGAACCACCAGCACGGAGCACTGAGAGCCTGACGTGTTGAACGAGGAGGCTGAGGGTAAGAAGAGAGAAGGGAACCATCACTGGGCTTGTTCCAGACCTAGAGCCCAGCCGGCCTGGACATGTGGTCTCAGCCTTTCTAGCAATTTCAGAAGCAGGTGAAGCATGGGGAAGAGCCCAGGAGTGTGTGGACATCAAATGATGGCGGGCAGAGGTTGGATGTTGCTGAGGGGGATGCTGGGGATCTCTAAGTAGCTCCAGGACTCAGTTTCCTTATTTGCAAAATGGGGACTATCCTCAAACTAACCTCACAGAGAGTTCAACGCGATTGTGCGAATGAAAGCATTTTGCAAAATCTTACCTATGCACTGTGGTCACGTTATCTCAGTAGAGGTGGGATTGCTTTGATGGGGTGAAAACAGTGTTGGACTTGGACCCCCAAGTCCCTGGTCGGACTGCGGCATCTGCTTCTCATCAGCTGAAGACCCAGCCCCCTGGAGGGGACAAGCTGTCCCCTTTCACCCCTGATGCCTGATAGCTGCCCCTTCTCATACCTTCACCATCTTCTCCAGGGCTCCAGGCAGCCGTGTAGGCCAGGTTTGTACGGGGGATGCAGCAGCTCAGCTGGAAGCCTGGGGAAGTGGCGCAGGAGATGGAGAGCTGGTCTGGAAGTCGAGCCACGTCTGCCACCTCCAAAGACACCCTCACCACCTGGTACAGGTTCCACATGAATCCCTGGGCCTCGAAGCAGCTCACGTACTCACCTGCAGACACACATCTGCTGCAACTGGGACTCCTCTGGGCCCGCCCGCACCACAGAATCTCCGTTGCCTCCCCACCCTCAGCCCAGGATTTGCCTTCTCGCTCCCTCCTCTGCTGGCGCCCGGTGCTTAACCTCAGCAAGAAAGGTCCCAGGATGGCCCACGGAGAAGATATTCCCTGCCCCCAAGAAGGATTTCCAAGAGGAAGAAGAAATCCGTGGAAGAGGCTTCTGGCCCTTTTTATCAGCCTGTGCCCATGGACTCCAGGGCGAACCTCTCTCCCTACAGCAGATGTCCTTCCTGCCCCACCCCTGCCATTATAGTGTCTTGAAAAACATGGATCTGTTCTCAGCTGAAATTGAGACCATATCTTCAGCATTCCCCATGTTATAATAGTTTTCTTAACAGAAATGTTTTTATGAAAAATAACTTCATTTTCCAAAACAAAACATAAGTAGAAGAGTGACGTTGGACATTATTTCATATTTGTGCAAATCTCTCTAAGGTCTGGCTGAGTGGCAGGTGGCTGGGTTGTCCTAGTGGCGTCTGCGTTCGATTTGCGAGACCCCTGTAGCCTCTGGAAGAGGCCGCTGTCCACTCCTGAGGGAGTGAGAGGGAAGGAGGCAAGTGACATCTGAATATAGTAGGACAATAATCGTGACTTCTTGAACCCCTAAAAGGGTCCCCGAAGTCCCCAGACCATAGTGAAAACAGCTGGTCATTTTTAGAATTTTCCACATTATAATTTTTCACACCAATGGGCCTCTTAGCCTTTGTTTCCTCAGAATGAATACATAGAAAGATGAAAAGGGTAAGGAAGAGGTGAAAAGAAAAGAAGGAAGGAGAAGGAGGGAAGAGTGGGAGGAAGAGGTGAAGGAAAGCAGAGAAGAAAGGGGAAGAGAGGCGAGGACAGGCCTGGTGGCTACCTGCCCAGTGATGGGACATGTTGGAGACACTGAGGGCAGCCCAGCCCCTGCTGGAGGTCAGGGACACCTGTGTCCCTGGCTGCAGGAGGACCGGTCTGGAGTTCCCTGGGTGCCTCAGGAACCAGTTCAGGTTGGTGGCCTCCTGGCTGACGAGGAGAGTCAGGTTCAGCGTGTGGCCAGGCATCTGCAGCGGGGAGTTCAGGCTCAGGTTTCCGGGGACTGCAGGGAGGCAGGAGGCAGTCAGTTCCTGAGGAGATCACTCCTTCCTCATCTCTGAGGCTCAGTCTTCCAAGTTCCCTCCCACCTAGCTTTATTTTTCCTTTTTGTCCCTGGGTGGGCAGCTGAGTGTGCCCTGCTGTCATCCAGCCTGGAAGGACCCTATCTGTTATTGGGAACTAAAAAGACAACTTTTTCGACCTATGACTTCCCCTCCCCCAGGTAACATGGGGCTGCTGGAGCTGCTTCCTGTTCCCTGAGGATAAAAAGCAGGGTCACTCTAGCACTTTCTCCGCTTATGCCTGTATCTCTGGGGCCCCGTTAGTCTCACTGGTCCTGAGCTCAGGGCCTGTGATCTGCCGTGAAGGCTGGCTCTTCTCCCATCCAGGGGAGCAGCGGGGCTTGTGCCCGGGGCTGAAATACAGGCTCAGAGAGGACGAACACCACAGGGAGCATTTCTTTCACTTGAAGCTATTGGTTTCCAAGTTCCCACCCCGCCTCACCAGGTGGCAGCAACTGGCAGTACCCAGGTTCAGGCTGGCTGAAGACAAGACAGCCACAAGGCTGGTGGCTGTGGAGGGCTTGGCAGGGACGGTGACGGGAGCAGACTCTGGCATTCCACTGGTACCCAGAGAGACAAGAACACTCGATATGCCCCTCGAGGTTGATGTCACACTCTGTGACAGAGAAGGGGGGTAAGAAGTGGGCAGGCTGTCTGAGAAGCCAGGTGGGCGCCCGAGAGGCTTTAGGGCTATTTAGGGCTGGGTATCTGGACCAGGCCCACCCCGAGGGACTGCACCTCCTTAGGCAGGACTCAGGACAGCAGAGGCCATGCTGGGCAGGGTGTTAGGGGTGAGGGTGGAAGTCCCAGCCTGCGCTGTGTGCCCCCTGGGCCCTCGGCCTGAGTTCAAAGATCGGGTGAGGCAGGCGGGGAAAGGTCCGTGTGGTGTTGGGCGTGGTGGGAAAGGAATTGGGCCAGGGAGAAAGAACCAGGCAGCCCTCCAGGAGGTGGGGAGGGGCTCACAGGGCCTCAGGCCAGCTGGCTGTGGGAGAGCTGGGAAGCCTAGTTCCCTCCACTCCAGCAAGGGGCACCTGTCGTGAGGCTGAGGCCAGTGAGAGTTCCTGGGGAAGCAGAGGCCAGGGCAGCAGGGAGAGTCAGGGTCCGGGAGAGTGTCAGTGGCCAGGTCTTATCTGGAAAGTCCAGATGCACATAGACGGAGACCAGAGCTGATTCCACAGGAGCAGAGGGGACAGCTGGAGAGGAGAGGCAGCAAGGCATGGGCAATCCCTTCTTGCCTCCCACGCCAAGCTGGCCATTCCCAGGGACACGGAGCAGATCCCCCTCCCATAGCCTGTCTAGGCGCACAGACAGGACTCAGGGAGCATCCAGATACACGGCTTCGTGGCATCCTCCCAGCAGCCCCCACGTCATAGATGAGGCTGCAGAGGTGAATGAGCTCCTAAGGGCTCACAGCTACAGCAATGGACGCAGACCTGGCGGACTGCCTGAGCTGGTCCTCTTCCACTCCCGCCACTGCTCACTGTGCCCTCTCCTGGGTCCTTCTTTCCTCCTCCTCCCTCCCTCCCCTGGCCATCCACTCACCCCCTGATCCACTCCCTTGGTCCAGGAGCTGCCCAGGTTCCCCTCCAGCCTGACTCTGTCCCTGGAACAGAACACAGAGGAGAGACCTCTGAGGAGAGGTTGACCTCAAGTCCCTCCCAAGGACACCTCAGCGGCCAGCCTGGCTGGTCTCAACCAGGATGACTTGGTCCCTTGGAATCTCTTCTTTTTGCCGGGACTCAACATACCCATCGGGAAGGGGAAGCGGGCTTCTGGAGGGGTGCCAGGAATGCAGCCCCAGGAGTCCTGCCAGGGCCTGCAGATCCCACCTAAAACCAGGAACCAGGCACGCCCTGGGGAGTCAATATGCTTTGTTTAATTCCTTCCTGAATTTACCTGTCCCTGGGCCTCTAGGTTTATTGAAATGGCTGGGTCTGGAGCTCCAGCAGGGGTGTTGGGCAGAGCTGGCCAGCCCAGAGACTTAGGGACTTTATTCCTTCCATAGGATTTGACACAAAGGTGAGCAGAAGGCAGCCTCTCCCCCTAGTCTCTGGTTCCTGTATATTATTTCCTCCCCCACTCCTTCCTCTCTGAAAATTGCACGTGCACGTGGATATCTGTGCAAAACCAGATATTGATACGGATGTGGCTATGGATACAGAGATGGACATAAGCTGGGTGTGGTGGGGTGTGCTCATAGTCCCAGCTACTCGGGAGGATCACTTGAGCCCAGGAGTTCCAGGCCAGCCTGGACAATATAGCAAGACTCAGTCTCTACAAAAATAAAAAAAGGATATAGGTAGATTTAGATATTGTTATACATGTAGATGTAGATAAAGATAGATATGGATTTAGATTTAGAGATAGAAATAGATTTGGGTTTAGAAATGTGGATGTGTAGATATGGATACAGACATAGACATAGGTATCTGCCTGGGAGAAAACGGATCAAAAGGTACTAATCTAGACTCTGATGCCTTTCCCCAGATTCCCTCCCATCGTCTATGCCAGTGGTTCCCAAATCTGAAAAGTTTTCTTTTCTTTTCACTTTTAAAAGGCCCGCTTGACTGGAAGAGCCTTTATCCAAAGTGCAGCAGGTACCACTGCAGTTCACAAGGACTCAAACAAAGAAACAAAAGCTACCCCCACACCCAGGAAAATCAGACTTGACTCTCACAGTCTATACTAAACTGGCTTCTTTCCTTTCATACTGTATTTCCTCTCCTTTCAGCCCTTGCCCCCACCTGTCCCCCAACCCCACACCTTGCTGTCCCTCACAACCAGAGGCCCCTAGCATCGCCTCTGCAGGCCTCCCCTGGGTATTCATCCAGTCTTACTTACAGGTTGGGATGCTCGAGCAGCTGGTGACCCCAGCAGGGGAAGAGTCATGGCCAGGAGCAGCAGGCGGGCAGCCGAACAGACCATGGCTCAGCGAAGCAGTCCCTACAAGGCCATGATGCAAATTTCCTTAGAAGAGCTGTCAGGGCAGTGCACAGATGGGATGGGAGGGAAGCAAGGGAGGGAGCCAGGGCCGAATTTACAGAGGAAGTGCTACGGCCCGTGACTCTGAGTCAAATGGGCATCCGGGTCACTGTGGGGACACCTGGAACCCACATGCCCCAGTGAGAATGGTCCATCCGGTTCCCCCAGGGTCTGGACTAAGGACTTAGCAGGAGAGGACATAGGGGTCCTAAGTCACAATCAGCAATGTGTTAAGAAGACAGGTTCGGTCATGTTCCCAAGGATCTGGGAAATCTGGATTGTTCTGGAACCCCTCCAGGAAGCTGGAGCATTGATCAAAGAGCCAAGGTTAGAAAAGAAAAAAAATTATAGCTGATTGATACTCTAAAATAATTTCCAGATAGACCAGAGTCTTACATGTAAAAAAGTATCTGTAGACTGGTATGGTGGCGCATACCTGTAGTCCCAGCTACTCCGGAGGATGAGGCAGGAGGATCGCTTGAGCCCAGGAGTTAGAGGTTGCTGTGAGCTATGATGACCCCTCTGTACTCCACCCAGGTGACAGAGCAAGACCCTGTCTCAGAAAAAAAAAAAAAAGTCTGAAAAGATAATGGAAGAAATTCTCAAGCAATTTCACAAAATAATTTTGAAGCAAGGAAGGTTTTTAAAACAAGACACAAAATTGAGAGGACAAAAGGACAAAATACACTTATATTTTTCAGTTCTACAATTTCCATTTGTTTCTTCTTCATACTTTCTATTTCCTCACTGAGACTTTTCATCTTTTCATTAATTTCAAGAGTGTTACTCATGGCACTCTCATAATAGCTGCTTTAATGTCATTTTCAGATAGTTCCAACATCTGTGACATCTCAGCATTGGTATCTGTTGATTGTTTTTTCCCACGTGAGCTATTTCCTGGTTCTTTATAAGCCAAGTAATTTTGGGTTGTATCCTGGACATTTTAAACATTATGTTATGAAACTCTGGATCTTGTTTAAATCCTGTGGAAAATGCTAATGTTTCTTTTCAAACAGGTAATCAACCTGGTTTGGTTCAAGTCACAAGTTCTGACCAACCTACTGTGGGTTGTGTTTTCAACATCAATTCTCTTTGCAAAGCCTTTGCAGTGCCGTTCAGATCCACTGCAGATGGGTGCCACCCAGTGGCCAGCCTGGGACCTGCATGACGGTCTATCTCCCTCTAGTTCTCCAAGTTTATGGTATGTGGTTTAAGGGTCAGATCCATGCATGTACAACTGGAAGGTGATCCTAGGAGTTCACAAAATTTTATGGGGTTGAAAAAGCTCAGGAAATTTCACCCCAACATTTGACTCCTTGGTATAAAGAATATTTTGATGTAAAGGCCCTTAGAGATCAACAGGCCCTTGGAAGAGGCTTTCCTTTTATCTGCATAACCAGACAGACCATCAAAAGAACAATTGACTTCCCTTCCCCTCCCTGTTATCTCAATATATTGCGGGAAAGAAAATCAAGAATGCAATGAGACCTGGTTAATCTCAAGGTTAGTTTAATTTGCAAAGAGAATCATTTACAAGCCAATCTTTCCCCCCATCCATTCATCTTCCCTAGCACCCATTTATTACCCCTAAGCAGAATTACCTGTAGTCCTCAACTCCCTGTCCCCTCTAAAGGAGGGTATAAAAATATCTGGATCCCATTGGGATACTGGGTAATCACTCTGTGATTTGTTCTCTGAGCATAGTAAATAAACCTCTTATTAATCTGCCTTAACTGTGAGGTGATCCTTCAGTGAACTGTGGGGGAAAGGGGAAGTGTCCCCCTCACCCCCACAGCTTGGCATCGTCGGTGGGGTCTCAAAGCCACTCTGCTCTTCTGAAAGATGCAGTGAAGAGAATGGAGAGTTAGACCAGCCGCAACACGGTTAGTACCTCAACTTACCAGTAAGACTCCTGGTTTTCCTCTCTCTGTGGGCTCCAGTTGAGCAGACAATAAAGATCATTGTCCTTTCCAAATTTAAGATTAATGAGAGAAAAGGTTTTTTTGCGTGACTATTTTTAGTAAAGCGCCCCTGGTATTGGTAGATTTTTTGGTACTTTGGGGTATGAATATTCATATTGTCTGATTCCCTCTCCTCTCAGAAATAGCCTTTTTGTTGCTGTTGTTGTTGCTTTCTTTTGTTGTTGTCCTTCTGTGTTGTTCTGTCATAAAGAGAGTTACCAGAGGGTAGAACACGGGCCTGGCCCCTCTATCAGCCCGCAGATCGTGTGGCCCTGCATGCCAGCTGGTGACACGGTTCTGACTAGACCGGCTTCTATTAAGACAAACTTTGCTGCAGATCTCTGGAAAAAAAACTGTATGAGGTTCCACTCTCATCCTGTTATTTGTCCCTGAGTTTGTCTTGTGACTGAGTGGGAGTTTTGTCCTCAGTCTCCACCATCCAGGGGGTGTGTTTTTTCAGGAACGTCAGGTGGCCAATCTGAAAAAGACTGTGTGTCCGGGACACGTAAGAGTCTAAGCAGCGTACTCTTTTTACCGTGGCCAGCTCTAGGGGAGTCTTTGTTTTTACTTTTTCTTTCCTTTTTTTTTTTTGAGACAGAGTCTTGCTCTGTCACCCCAGCTAGAATGTAGTAGTGTCATTTGTTGCTCCCGGCAACCTCAAACTCCTGGGCTCAACTGATCCTCCTGCCTCAGCCTCCCAAGGTGCTGGGATTACAGATGTGAGCCATCGCACCAAATGGGAGTCTTTGTCTTAAAAAGTCCTACTCTCTCTGTTATCTTGTCTGTTTCAGAAAGTGAATTTTTGGGAGTCTTGGGAACTGCCTTCTCTTTGCCCTCTCTAGGAGGC